AAAAAAAGAAATATATTATTAGTTGTGTTTAAATTTGCAAAAGAATAAAAAAATGAAGCCGTGCGCCTTGAATTATCAAAATTAATTAGTTGTGTTCAAATTACAACTAAAGAAATGAAAATTGTGTCAATTAATTAATTCATTACTTTTATAGTCAGGGGTTTAACAGATAAAGTTTTTGCCAGATATAAAATTGATGAATTTTTTAATGGAAATTGAGATACTATTTTCATATTTAGTTAGGGGTAGTCATCTCATATTATATACTATTTAGTCAAATATGTTCACATGCACATATTTAACCACAATATGTTCAAATATTTACCATGATGTGAGAGTTACTTGCAGGTTAAATATGTGCATTTGACCCCCGGTGTGAGAGTTACTTGCAGGTTTTCGGCGATCTACCGGCGAGGACAAAGATCGATCCATTCCAAACCGGACCAGGACGCCTACATCTGCATTAGTAATTAATAGCATAAACTTTGGCAACTAAAATACGACATTAATTTAAAATAATTCTTGAAATTTTCGATCACGAAAATTATTCAGGAGAAACATTTTTGAATATTTCAGTGGTAGATATACTATTGAAATATTCGTTTAATTTTTACTACAATCATTTATGATAATTAATGGGAAAGAAATTCACGAATGAGTATCCAGCCACATTATTATTATTATTATTATTATTATTATTATTATTATTATTATTATTATTATTATTATTATTATGATCAAAATGTTATTTTAGCATTTTTTTTTTTCCAAATTAAAATAAATAACTAATTCAAAGTTCAAACACTATTATTCTACCCTAGACAGTAGACATAGGGAAAACAATGTGTACCTTGTGCATTGTAAGTTGTCTAGCTCAAAAAGGGGAGCACAGATAGTTCTCTGTTTCACGGCACACTTCGACAAGCTTGTCACCAAGGTCTCATGGCTTCCTCACATGGAGAAACTAATCATGTACGTCATTTATTTTTTATTATTAATTGTATATAACAAGACAGAGTACGGATTTTCAGCTTTACGCGTTGTTAATTTCCCCAAAATAATAAAGCAAAGGGCTTTCGTTGTATTTTTCTTCTACCGATCAGCTGAAAAACGCAGTCTGTTACTGGGTTTTCATTTTCGGCCCGAATATGTTGTGGGTTTCTTTCGTAATTCTGTTTTGGAACATAAATTTTCGCCATTTATGACTTGGGCAGGTTTTGATGGAAGATAAATCATCTGCGAGAATCATCACGCTCAATAGACCTAAGCAGCTCAATGCGCTTTCAGCTGCAATGGTACTGGTTTACCCTTTTAAATTTCAAGAAAGTAAATGGCTACGACATAAGTTGTGAGCTTTCGTCTATTTTGAGGTTTATTGTTTTCAAACTAGCTTATGGTAATGTATCTGTAGTAATAACTAATCAGGGAGAATGTGAAATTCCCAAAGATTTTATCATGAAGGTGATGATGCTATGACTTGGGGCCAAGTATATGTGCAATTTGTCATATGTTTTGGGTTGAAATGCTAAGAGAATAATTGGGACTCGACTTGCATCTTTATATCCCTTTTGTGTACAATATTGATTCGGCATGTGTTCGCAAGCTCTTTAGAATGAGAGAAAAATAAAATAAAAATGATTGAATAGATTCTTAGCTCCTAGCTGCAACAGATGAGATTATGAGACTGTTTACAGACTGTAGATTTCCTTTGTTCGTAAAGACTTTCGAAGCACTCCCTTCAAATTGAATGCTAAAATGCTTCTTCAATGCAATCCACTAATATAGGTGTCCCGTATATTGGAGATTTTTCATGCTTCTGCAGAGGACCCTTCTGTCAAACTAATAATTTTAAAGGTATAGTTGTTCCATCATACTCGAACACACTGAGTTATGTCTCCCGGTTCACTGATTTCTGCTCATATTTTTTTCGGCTTCTTCTTGATATAAACCATTTTAATAACAGGGTAAAGGAAGAGCATTTTGTGCTGGAGCTGATGTTGCAGAGATTGTTCGTCATATTAATGAAGGTGAAGTAAAGGTTCTTCTAGTTATTCGATTGTTAGACATCGTGAACGAGATCCTTTATATATAATTTTAGTTGTTTTGTGAACATTCAGGTAACTGGAGATTAGGTGCAAATTTGTCGAGAGAGGAACTTACGATGAACTATGTGATGGCTACATACAGCAAACCCCAGGTGCTACTTGTCGAAAAGATTTTTAAGTATTTTATTCTTCTTAGTTGCTGTTGTTTTCATTTGAAATATTGAGTTGAGTTCTTTTCCATTTTTTTTTTCTATTTTTATTTATCAAATATGTTAAAGGTTTCAATTCTTAATGGGATTGTGATGGGAGGAGGAGTCGGTGCTTCTATACATGGAAGATTTCGTGTTGCTACAGAGAATACGGTATTTGTCTGAATGATATGTGATGTATGGAGATCTTTTTTTCCTTTTTTTTTGTTTTTGTTTTTGTTTTTATCTTATATGCTGTGGAAAACATTGTTTCTTTAGTTAATTAAGCATTTGAAATGTTACTCATTATTCGCCTGCTTTTGGAACCTTCTAGCAGATTTTTGCCATGCCTGAAACAGCACTGGGACTTTTCCCTGACGTAGGGGCTTCCTACTTTTTATCTAGACTCCCCGGATTTTTCGGTAATTACTTTTATGCCCATTTTATATATCCATATGCACATAATTTTGAGGTAGAGGTTCTGCACCTTCGAAGGTCTATGAGCTGCTGTAATGCATAATCAGTAAAAGGAGCTGCATTGAGGTATATCGACGTAGTTTATTTTTATATGACTTGGCAATTAGTTGGTTTCCACTTTTACTGTACTAAATTTGGTATGGTTCAT